TATTTAGCTTAATAAAATCTCTTTGAGAATTTGTGGCTGACGCCTCCATCTGATGGTGCAGACTACGCTGCCAGCAGAATGTCTGGGAATGTACCAAACCCCCAGTTTGATTCAGCAGGAATACATGAAAATACGGACGGCGAAGTACGTTCTTCGAAGCCTCCTTGAAATCGCAGCAAAGTGATTAACTGACGTAATACAAATTCTATACAGCAAAAGAAGATAAAAACCCAAAGTAAGTCCACAGCATTTTAGTTTTCATACGACTGCCACTTCAGGGAAAACATGAATTTGCATCCTATACAATCTGTCCTTATTTACCGTGAAACTCAGGCTATAGAAACTACACTGACAACGTGTTGTCTGCCATAGACTCACTTCCGGATCTTAACAAAAGGATTCTTGGCGGCCTGCGTGACCACTTTAAGTGCTGAAAGGTGGCTTGAATTTTCTTTTTCCTAACTCGCGAATGTATGCCTCCTAAGTTTGTAACTTTGTAACATCATTCATTTGGCTAACATGAATCGCTTTTATGACAATTCACATTTACCTGTACCCGGCATAATATTGCACAAATAGTATCCAACACGAATATCTAAGCACTTCTTTTGCTGTCCTCACCCTTTTCTTAAAATTTGTGAGCTGATATGAAGAGCAAGATGGTGTGGCCACAGTTTTGCACACAGTCTCTTTTCGCTGTATACAATCAGTTTAAACTTGCTTAAACAATTTGGTCCTGCTGTCATGGCCACCCAGATGAACGAATCTTGTTATGAGTCATTTGCTATGATAATTTCCATTGCCGAAGCGGGAACCTGCTTAATTCCCAGGCTTTTCGCTGGCATACTAGCCAGAATTGTCAATGATTCTCGCCATTTTAGGTACCAAGCAACAACGCAAGTTGTAATTTGGTGCTAGAAGTTGTAGGATATCCTTGACGATGTTGACTAAGATTTCAGCAAAATGTTTGTGAATTTAGCAAATCTACGCTTCGATGTGTTATCGATTATTGGTGATAAGAGTATTTTATTATTTTTTTAATAAATCATTATCTATTTTATATCGAACTAATTCAATTAAATGATAATTTCATAATTTCATGATTTCATTTATTCATTTTACATTCATTCAATCTTTCATTATATCATGAATAAATCATTATATTATGTTAATATTTGATTATTTCATTAATTGATTATTAAACTATTTCAGTATTTCGTTATATTAGTGTATTTTTTTGAAATATCATAATTATATAATTTCAATATTTCGCTATTCAATAATTTCAATCCAATATTTTTATTATTTTATAATTTTATTAGACACTTATATAATTATTTGATCATATAATTATATAATTATATACTGTTAACGCAGTGTGTTAAGCTCTTGCCTGTCTTATGATGGACATCAGCATAGTAAGATAATTAATTAGTATTTAATTACATCACTAAAATAAATAACTCAGCTCTTAATTTTTAATTAAATTTTACAAATATCTTGTCATTTAATTATTTAATATATAATTTAACAAATTAAAAGTGCGATGTTTTTAATAAGATTATTTAATTATTTCATAAATAACAAATTTTAACCTGTTTTGCTTCGTTATTTTGGCATATTATTATTCAATTATTTTATGATTCAAGGATTTACTAATTTAACTATTTATATTTTTTATTACTTGGTAATTTTATTAATTCTATTTGTAATCATTTCAATATTTTCAATATTTCCTTTTCTAAATTCATCATTACTCACCTTATTAATTATTTAATATTTCAATAGGTTAATACTTTATGTATATCAATATTTTCTTATTTTCTAGTTGAATAGGTTGAGTATTTAATTTTATCTTATCTAATTATTTAATTCCGTCTTTAATTTAACAATTAATTGCCTCATTATTTTTATATTTCATAAATTCAGTATTCAGCTATTTCCTTTGTAATTTATTATTACATTTTCTCATATTTTAATGATTTACTAGCTCAATTACTCATAATTTTATAATATCAAATTTTATTCTTTCGATTATTTTTTTATCTGTTCGCATCATTTTTTCATAAGTTAATAAACTAAGTCTTACATATTTTCCGTTTTCAATTTTCGACAATTTCATGATTTCATGTTTCTAAATTTCAATATTTCTGTATTAAATCATTGTTAGGGGGACCTTCATTTCCTATAAAAGTGCATAAAGAAGAGATTCGTTGGTCGATCTCAA